ATTTATTAAACCCCTCAATATCTTGAAAAGTTTTTCCATGGATTCCATGGACTTTTGCTTTAAACCCATGTGATTGAGGTAAAAATTTTTTCCAAAAAAAATCATGCAGCACAATAAATATGAGCTGCTTTCTTTCATCTTTATTTCCCAAGATAGGATCGAGGCAAAGCTATGTAAAAGCCCAGTCAGAAGGAAGAGAGAAATTATTCATGAATGCAAAATAAAAGAATATAAAAGAAACAAAAAAGTGAAGTACAATGTAAGTCAGTCTAAATTAGATAAAACAAAGTGGAGCATCCTAAAATACAGATCACACCAGCAGGTTGAAAAGTTATTTGAGAAGACAGGTGAAAACCACAGGATTGAACTAACCTGGACAATTAATAATAATGTTATTTAAGAAAGTCATTGGCATGAGGGAAGACAAGAAGCAACCATATCATGGATGGTTGAACAAAGTTCATTCCCAAACTTTTGAAAGCAATATGGAACTGATTCTAAAAATAAAACCTTTTTGTATTCCAATATTAAGGAACACAGCAAAATAAGAACATTCATGGGCCAAGAATGATATACATACAACTTATGAATTTATTGTAATGCTCTACATCCTCTGTCCTCAAGTACACCTATGTGCTCAGCAAGAGCTAATAAATTTTGTTTCAATTTAGTTAGAGACATGTGCAAGTCACACTATGAGGGGATGTATAGTCTAGTTAGGAATGTACAAAAACTTATTGCAATTACAGCCCACATTATCAGATTAGGCCTTAGCTATGATGAGCAACTGTCTCAATGGTTCTGTTGTATCTTTTCAACAATTGATGTGTCATATCCCACGTGAAAATTTCATACAAGACCATATATTTAACCTGTCCAACATATAAGGGGCATATATGACCATATAGTGCAATACATATATGAACATTTGTGAAACATGTATGGGTTTGACACAAGTCACATGAAATCATATAAGAATGGAAATATATGACCTCATACATTTTCATATATTGGCTCATACATATGCACCATATACTGTCCATATATACCATGTCATACCTATGTATGGTGAGATTACCCGAAGCATGTCTGTATCCAAAAAGGGTCCATAATCCATCAAATACCGTATGATCATTCATATGCAAGTCACCATACTTAACTTGCAATCAACTCATTTTCAATTGTTTATAGACCACAGTCAATTACTCCAAGAACGCATGTTTCATGGTGTTCAACATATGCACCCTTGTTAATGAAGGTGAAACTTTCAATATTATAGCTTCACAAGTATTTTCATCAGCAACTAGCGAGTTTGTATTGATCGCGCCTTCGGCGCTCCATTACCTTGGATAGTGATTAATTCATTTATTCCTTTTGAAATGGCAAACACGTATTTAAAGTACGTCCCGATTGAAATATGTGACATATGGGGACGAAAGTCTTAATTATTATCAAAATCTTTACTTCAATTATTTCTGGTGTGCCTAACTTTAAATCTTTTCATGTGTCCCTTTTGTAAGGATCTTCTACATTTTGCAATACTTCCCTTTTATAATCTACGTTAATGGGCCATATTTCAAAAGTAGGATTTTTCCTGTACTCAGCCATCAAATAGGTACTTCTGAGGGAATTTTAAATTTTCTGTCTCTGTTTCGTTGGATCAAAAAATAATTCAGGAAAATGGGACTTTGAAAAAGTGCCCTGATGGGTTTTAACAAAATTTTTTTTCTTCTGAAATGTAGAGTCAGGGAACTCCATGCTACCCAGTTTCAGGCTTGTACGTTTCCCCATTTTACTGGCGGTGAAAAAATATATTTGGAAAAGTGACTCACCCAAAAGCTGTGCTCTGAGGAGATGCACAGGAAAAGTTGAATTTTTCCCTAAATCAACATCACGTCCATTATGTGTGCACCAGCTGTTACTTTTCTATTTCTGCCCGATTTGCTAGGATATGAAAAATTCTTTGCAAACGTAACGTCCCCAAGAAATATCCCCGCCCAAAATACCAACATTTTGGAAATTTGACATTTTTCCTGAGCTCAGTGCGTTAGCAGTCACGATCTTGCCAGGTTTCAGCTTTCCATGTGTCTCTGTTTTATTGAAGCAAATAGAAATTTTTGGAAATATGTTCCTCTATAGCATGTATCACCAAAGTAGAATTTTTCCTAAACTCAGGATGCGAATAGCAACTTGTGTCGGTCAGTCAGCTACTCACGATCCTCTATATATAATAAAAGTAGCATTTTTCATTTACTCAGCTAGCCATCAGGTTCTTCTTTTCCAATTATAAACTTTCTATCGCCCTCTGTTTGCTGGATCGAGAAAATAAGCCTCTTGCAAAATGTGCCCTCGGGCATTTTAACCGAAAGTACTTTCTTTTTTTTTTATTTATACCAAAATCAATCCTCAGAGAACTACATGCCCACAAAGTTTAAACCTTATACGTTTGTCCTTGTCGCTGGTGGAAAAACTTGTTTGGAAAAGTCAACCCAGCCAAAAGCCATGCCCAGAGGGGATGCACCATGAAAGCTGAATACTCCCTCAACTCAATAATATGTCAATAATACGTGTGACAAGTTTCACCTTTTCATTTCTGTCCAATTCGCAAAGACAAAATTGTTTTTTTTTTTAAACAACCCCTCAAAAAAACTTCCCAGGGGATGTATTGAGATTTAACATTTTCCTTTAACTCCTTGTCTCAGTAGCCACATTCATGCAAAGTTTCAGCTTTTTATGTTCATCAGTTTAACTAATGCAAAAAAATTATTTGAAAACATCTCCCTTTGAAATTTTTTGCCCCAGGGGCATTTACTTCCAAAGTCTGAATTTTTCTGCATGCAGCATCCCAATAGATAGTTATGTACCAAGTTTCATCTTTCCACCCCAGCTCAATAAGCCAGGGCAAAAAAAATTACTAGAAAACGTTGGCCCCTTGGAATATGCCCCCACAAGGCATGAAACTTAAATTTTACATTTTTGCTGAACTCATCGTCTCAGTAGGCATGTCCATGCCAAGTTTCAGCTTTCTATGCCTCTCCGCTTTACTCAAGCAAAAATAATATTATGAAGGGGGAATGAATAAAGGGACATGGAAGGGAAAAGAAGCCAAAAGAAAAGCCAAGGAATGGCCGGGAATTGAACCCAGACCTTTTGATTGCCGGTCAGATATGCTACTACTACACCACTGAACCCAGGACATTCAGTTGGCTCTCTGAATGACATCCTCATCTGTCACAATATATATTTAAGAAAAACGTTTACCCCCAAAATTTGTACCCCCAGGGCATGTACCTCCAAAGTCTGATTTTTTCTGAACTCTGCATCCCAAAAGGTATATGTGTAACAAGTTTCAGATTTCTAACCTTTCTAGAACATGGTTAGAATTAGCGTCAGTCAGTCACAACTGTCTATATATATTAGATGCTATTTCAAGACAAAACTTGGCTTACTCATGCAGGAGTGTCTTCTTCATTTTGATTGACAATTCAGAAGATAGATGGGAACAGAAACTGTATTTCTTTCTGAAATTATCTGATGAAGGAATTATTCAACAAAGGCAAGGCACAGCATGGCATGGCATGGCATGTGCCTCCACTTTACAATTAAGAAAAAAATTAATACAAAGGAAAAGATGCATGATAACAATGTCCCAGAGTTCCCATGCCCCCCCTCCTCCCACACTTTTTTCATCCGCAATATGCTTATGCTACCTAGAGAAGGTAGGGCCCAGTTTGAAATCCTGACTGGAATTTTTCAGGTGGACAGAAGCTGTATATTTTGACCATTTCCAGCTGGTAAAGAACTACAAAATGGTAGATGATACAGGTTGTTTTACAGCTGGAAATTTACCATTTGAATTTTATACAGAGGACCCTCCAGTTGAACTGTAGCTGAATTTACAGTTGAAGTTCAGCTGCTTCTGTAGATGGACCTCCAGCAAGAATAGCCAAAAAAAAAAACATTCTCATTCTACCAGTGTATTGCAATTAGGAACAACCTGGATCTGACTTTACTTTCCAGCTGCTACCCAATTGGAATGGGTCTGAATTTCCAACTGAGGTTCAGCTGGAAATAATACAATTGTTTCCAACAAGGATTTTCAGCTGGGGGGATTTGAAATCAAACTTTTTGGCAAATTACTTTAAAGGTTATGCATACTTAATATTTCATGTAAAATACAATAGGTGCATTAAAAATGAGTTGCAGAGGCATCTGAAGGTCAATTGCCCTCACGTGAAACAACCTCATGCAGTGGTGTATTTTCTAGGGAGGGGGCAGGGGAGTGTGGCTGCCCCCCCACGGCATCCCTGGGACAGGGCTTGGTGCCTCCACTCTGCTGCCCTGTCCCCCCTGATTCTTCAGCCAAAATACACCACTGACCTCATGCTATGCTTTACTTACAACCATAAGACTTGTCTATGCATATTCATCACAATCAGGCATGATGCCATTTGCCCATCACACATAATATTGCAATGCAAGTAAAATATATTATGCACCATACAATTGTTAATATGTGAATACATATATGGTGGTATATGGCAAATATATGATCATACATAACCATACAGAATCATACACCCTGTCATACATGGCATTTTCACGTAGGATCACAAGACAGATGGGAAATCTCCTTTTGTCCTTCCAAAACTGACATGCAGTGGTGTCAGCAAATAATACACAAGGAGGAGCTCTCATTTGAAAGGTGATTCATATGACTCAATCTGTTGCATAACATTTGTGGGACTTCAAAGAGAAAATAGAAAAATGCAATAATTGGCTATGAGCATGCCTCCCCTGTTCTTTTAAAATATCCCATGATGAGACTAGTGAGGAGAATTACAAGCTTCCATGAGAATGTTTGAGCCAACAATATTTCACTCATACTAAACCAAAACAAAGTTTAAAAAAAAAGAAAGAAAACCTAAATGATGATCATTGACCTGAGCCTGTGATGCCAATATCCTATTCTTCAAGACACTTCCATTTGCAAGACTCACCATTTCCTTCATGGCCTCTTAGGGTGAAGACTGGGTCAGGGTGATTGGGAGAAAATCCTCTAATGATTTTGTCATTGCTGCCAGTGATGATAAGACCCTCAGGATACTTCTCATCAGGAGGCAAAGCACACACACACGATACATACTGCTCATGGGAAGTATAACACTGCACTGCCTCAAATCCTCCTTTCCTATTCCTGCAAGCCAGCATTCATAACACACACTGATTTATGGAGCTAAAAACAATAGGTTGTCAGTCAGTCAGTCACGATCGTCTATATATATTAGATGCTATTTCAAGACAAAACTTGGCTTACTCATGCAGGAGTGTCTTCTTCATTTTGATTGACAATTCAGAAGATAGATGGGAACAGAAACTGCATTTCTTTCTGAAATTATCTGATGAAGGAATTGTTCAACAAAGGCAAGGCACAGCATGGCATGGCATGTGCCCCCACTTTACAATTAAAAAAAAAACATTAATACAAAGGAAAAGATGCATGATAACAATGTCCCAGAGTTCCCATGCCCCCCCCCCTCCTCCCACACATTTTTCATCCGTGATATGCTTATGCTACCTAGAGAGGGTAGGGCCCAGTTTGAAATCCTGACTGGAATTTTTCAGGTTGACAGAAGCTGTATATTCTGACCATTTCCAGCTGGTAAAGAACTAAAAAATGGTAGATGATACAGGTTGTTTTACAGCTGGAAATTTACCATTAGAATTTTATACAGAGGACCCTCCAGTTGAACTGTAACTGAATTTACAGTTGAAGTTCAGCTGCTTCTGTAGATGGACCTCCAGCAAGAATAACAAAAAAAAAAACATTCTCATTCTACCAGTGTATTTCAATTAGGAACAATCTGGATCTGACTTTACTTTCCAGCTGCTACCCAGTTGGAATGGGTCTGAATTTCCAACTGAGGTTCAGCTGGAAATAATACAATTGTTTCCAACAAGGATTTTCAGCTGAGGGGAATCAAAATCAAACTTTTGGCAAATTACTTTAAAGGTTATGCATACTTAATATTTCATGCAAAATACAATAGGTGTAAGTTGCAGAGGCATCTGAAGGTCAATTGCCCTCACGTGAAACAACCTCATGCAGTGGTGTATTTTCTAGGGAGGGGGCAGGGGAGTGTGGCTGCCCCCCCATGGCATCCCTGGGACAGGGTTTGGTGCCTCCACTCTGCTGCCCTGTCCCCCCTGATTCCTCAGCCAAAATACACCACTGACCTCATGCTATGTTTTACTTACAACCATAAGACTTGTCTATGCATATTCATCACAATCAGGCATGATGCCATTTGCCCTTCACACATAATATTGCAATGCAGGTAAAATATATTATGCACCATACAATTGTTAATATGTGAATACATATATGGTGGTATATGGCAAATATATGATCATACATAACCATACAGAAGCATACACCCTGTCATACATGGAATTTTCACGTGGGATCACAAGACAGATGGGAAATCTCCTTTTGTCCTTCCAAAACTGACATGCAGTGGTGTCAGCAAATAATACACAAGGTGGAGCTCTCATTTGAAAGGTCATTCATATGACTCAATCTGTTGAATAACATTTGTGGGACTTCAAAGAGAAAATAGAAAAATGCAATAATTGACTATGAGCATGCCTCCCCTGTTCTTTTAAAATATCCCATGATGAGACTAGTGAGGAGCATTACAAGCTTCCATGAGAATGTTTGAGCCAACAATATCCCGCTCATACTAAACCAAAACAAAGTTTAAAAAAAAAAAAAACAAAGAAAACCTAAATGATGATCATTGACCTGAGCCTGTGATGCCATTATCCTATTCTTCAAGACACTTCCATTTGCAAGACTCACCATTTCCTTCATGGCCTCTTAGGGTGAAGACTGGGTCAGGGTGATTGGGAGAAAATCCTCTAATGATTTTGTCATTGCTGCCAGTGACGATAAGACCCTCGGGATACTTCTCATCAGGAGGCATAGCACACACACACGATACATACTGCTCATGGGAAGTATAACACTGCACTGCCTCAAATCCTCCTTTCCTATTCCTGCAAGCCAGCATTCATAACACACACTGATTTATGGAGCTAAAAACAATAGGTTCCTTTAAGATCATCTATACAAATGTTAAAACAGAAGTGAGATAAAGTAGACAATGTAGGAAGGCAGACATTCTAACATCTTTAGCATTTCTCGAGAAACATGTTTTCTGCATATAATTTTGAAATCAATAATTGCATCTCCAGGATCTTAGCAATTTTGCATAAACTCAGCCAAATCATACAATTCAAATTGAAGAGAGTGAAGTTCAAAAAGACCAATTTTTTCCCCCCAGGATAAAAGTTTTACATTTTACTAGATATTGAAAACTTGCCCTCTAGGTAAAGCAGAAAAGCAAACATTTTGTGCATCACAAATTTGGTTTCAGTTGGGAGCAGCAGGAAGAGTGGCATTGGAAGATACTCCCATGGTTCTACAAGCCAAGTTTGACATGCAGTGTGATGTGATTATTTTTTCCTAGCCTGAAGCTCAGTCTTGATCTGCATTGAGAAGATGCTGTTCATGCACAGCAAGAACAGACTAGGAGATACTCATGTGGCAAAGATAAAAGTACCAAAGCACTGATGCCATAAGAATGCAGCACCCAACAGAGAGACATTGNACACACTGATTTATGGAGCTAAAAACAATAGGTTCCTTTAAGATCATCTGTACAAATGTTAAAACAGAAATGAGATAAAGTAGACAATGTAGGAAGGCAGACATTCTAACATCTTTAGCATTTCTCAAGAAACATGTTTTCTGCATATAATTTTGAAATCAATAATTGCATCTCCAGGATCTTAGCAATTTTGCATAAACTCAGCCAAATCATACAATTCAAATTGAAGAGAGTGAAGTTCAAAAAGACCAATTTTTTTCCCCCAGGATAAAAGTTTTACACTTTACTAGATATTGAAAACTTGCCCTCTAGGTAAAACAGAAAAGCAAACATTTTGTGCATCACAAGTTTGGCTTCAGTTGGGAGCAGCAGGAAGAGTGGCATTGGAACATACTCCCATGGTTCTACAAGCCAAGTTTGACATGCAGTGTGATGTGATTACTTTTTCCTAGCCTGAAGCTCAGTCTTGATCTGCATTGAGAAGATGCTGTTCATGCACAGCAAGAACAGACTAGGAGATACTCATGTGGCAAAGATAAAAGTACCAAAGCACTGATGCCATAAGAATGCAGCACCCAACAGAGAGACATTGGTAGACCCTGGCAATACCAGTCCAACTGGGGTAAAATGGGTCCAAGATTTTCAGTTATCAGCATTTAATATTTACATAATATACGTGAACTAAATGATATTTGACATAGATCTGGATCATTACGTTCTTACAAAGAGGCAAAATATAATCTTGGTTAAGAAGGTGCAACCCTAAAAATACATTGCATTTTTTAAAGGCCACCTGATCTCTTTTCCATAGCTGTAATGTTTCTTGACAGGCACGACTGTAAATTGGAGATATATCCTTCCGTTGTCAGACCTGGGTTTCCCTGGTACATCAAGTGTTTCAATTTTTTATCAAACAAAAAAAGGGCTTAATTAACTTCACATCCTTTCCAATGAGGAAAAACTCAGTCTACCTTCAGTAACGAATTCAAATTCCCTCCTCACCATCAGCAGATAATTTAGGTCATGACCAAAATAATCAATATTTCTTATAAAAACTTCTGAAATGAGATCTGATTCTGGTTGGCTGATGTCATGTGTTGTGATGGGATACAGAGTGCCAAGATCTGTAAAGGTGATATGGTGAAACAGATATTACTATGGATTGAAAGATTTTAAAAAATAGTCCATTGGTTTGAACATGTCTACTGCGTGCCCATAGCTTCCTAAAAAGAGCTTTTCTCATTCTAGAATGACAGGCAGAAGACCAGCTGGTAGAACTTGTAAAAGGTGGAAGAATTACATTCTGAGGCTCTGTTATGGGAGGTTTGGTAGGCATTACACCAGCTGAACATAAGTCTATTGTAGTGGAGTGGGAATATTGATATTGTTCCAGAGCCTGCTTGAAGTGTGACCCCAAAAGGTTGGGAGGATGAAATTATTTTACTTACGTAATGGTCCATCGATTCTTGATAGTTCCCTTCTGGTTCCAGTACAGGGAGTGTATACGATTTAGTCAGATTCAGCTTAGATTTGAAGTGGACTTATGTAACATCCTTCCTCGGAAAGTTTATTGCTCACATGTGCCAATCTGAATCTGTATTTAAGAGTTGCCTAAAAGAAAAAGTTGATACCTCACCCAAACTAGAAATAGACTTATGCTAAAACCTTGTCTAAAATGTAAGCTTTAAGAGAAAGAACTCTCAATAGTGTTGGTTAAGATATGTAACCATGAACTCAATGATACTGTGATTGCACAGGTGATGGACTTACTTGGGTCTAGCCAAACAGATCTCATCTGCATGCAAGTCCAGAATCAATGCACAAAAATGTCAGAGAATATTAGTTTAATATAATTTTTTGGGGAAACACACATTTAAATCTTCTTTATTTCCAGCTTAGCTGACAGGAAACATGTACCTCAATAAGTACATTATATATACTCCACAGGCTTTCATAGGCTTGAGTCTATCATGTATTTCAGTGATGAGGCTGGTTGAGCTAATTGAACCTTTAACTGTGGCAGTGGCAGATGGACTTAAGCCAGGATTGCTTCTGGGGTGTTAGGTACTGCCTCAACTATTTACATCTGCAGCCATAGCACCTGATGGCAGAAACTTTCTGCATATTGTTTGTTAATCAGACGTGGTCTCAACCCCCTGAAGGCACAGGTTGCCTGACAAATTTCTCAGATAGGATCCTTCATTGTCCTTTCTCTTTTTAACTTTTTTGGGCTTTATCCCAGATCTGCATGCTATTGACAATAATTTGGCCTTCAGATTTGGTCTCTGTTCTGCCTCTGAGTTCAGAAGCTGGGTATTTTCTGCTGCCCTTGGGTATTTTTGGCCAGAATTGGCACCAAGCCCACCCTGGGCTTTATTAAGAAAAGGTTGCTGAGCTTAGGCTTAGGCCTTGGTGAAGACTTCAGCTAAACCTGATGTGAAAAAAAAAAATTTATTTGCTTACTTGTCGGGAGTCCACAATCTTGCAGTTTTGTCCCGAGATCCTGTGATGATAGCTTCACTGGGGTGATGAATGACTGCCACTGATCGTACATCCATTGAATGGCCCCTCAACGTGCAGCGCAACTTGTATGGCTCGTTTGACATGCTTCTTGCACCAATTAAAAATCTTTTGACTATCTGACTACAAGCAAAAATATTTTTCTCAGCATTCCCTTGATACTTGTGTTTATCATCGGTCCCAGCAGTTCAAGCGGCTGAACTGATGAGGTTGCCTTGCTTACCATTCAGCCTGACTGAACTCAGCAGCTCAGAACGATAAATCAGAGTAGATTCCTGAGTGGCTGAGTAGTGGCCGTCTATTTTATAGTTATTTCGTGCCAGGCCAAAAGCGAACGTCTATGGCTCTTTTAAATGATAATGACACCAAGTATACTGTTTTGGGCCATGGATATGGTGAGAATAAATTTGTTGAGTAAATGAGTTGCTGAGTGATATATCAATGTTGAATGGTGAATTCATGAATTTGTGGCGTTATTTGGAAATTGGCCAGGCTGTTCTGTGCGTGGAACATCTGTGGTAAGCAGAAACTTAGCTGTTAACGAGATGTTTCAGTTTGAATGCAGCTGAGGAGCCGAGGCCAATAGTAAGCAAGAATAGATCCGGCACAAGCGGGTCACCATACCAATATACAGTGGCGCCATCAGCCACAACTGTGTGCCCTGAGACTAATAGGCAGTGTGGCTCGATGTTAATTTTTCCTAACTGGGACCATCCCCCGGTATTTGTAGTGCACCACGGAGACTTTACTATTTTACACTCTAGCATTCGAAAACCGCCCTACTTTTAAAACTCTGTCTAAAGGACGAACTATAGTCGAACTAAATGTTTGAGGGGAAGTCGGTCAAGCGAACATCCTCACTCGACAGCAGATACGTGCTCTTCTTAATCTTTTTTTACTTTTCACGTTCTGAGACATCTCCCGCATGCAGCCCTCCCGTCATCTGTGTAGGACTGGGGCCCGATTCCAGCTGGAAATAAGCCATCTTGACGTTATACGTTTATCTAGCACCGATTATTTGCAGACAAACCCTAAGTTTCAGTCCCCTTCTGCGCACCTCAGTGGAGGACGAGGACTAACATCTGTGTCTTGAGGCCTTGGCCTCACGATAACATCGTGTAATTTAGTTCTTTCTTTGAAAATTTGTTTGTTATATCAGGGCTGCCGAATACATGTTCAATTTAACTAAGTGTGATCTTCAACTCTACCCGTACCACGCTTGACACCAGCAAGTAAAACGTTATATCCGGAAATGTTTGTAAGGGTTCAACACTGTTACTACCGGCATCAACTAACTCAGCATTCTTCAACTACGTATATCAAGTTGCCAAACGACTTGTTAGTATGAAGAATATGTGCGCAAACTTCGAACTCATGGGCTGCATAAACAGTGCCTAGTGCCGTTCTCTTTGAGAGCCACTCATTTTAACATAAACATCACAACAAACAAGTAAATCATTAATCATTTATCTTTCCTCATTTGGCGACAATGATCATGGGAAGCAAGAAGTAAGAATTAAATTCTACAACTTAAAGAATATTTACATCCCCCCTGGTGGAATCTTTGTATGCTGGACAGGACATGCTGTAGTTTGAGCACTCCTGGTCAATTGGTTATGCCTAGGAAATTATAGTTAAATTGCACTTTAAGCTAGTCATGCTTGGTATTCTTCTGCTAGCCAATGGATATGCTAATGAAGTTTTAATTCAGTGTTAGTTTCAATGTGAGTGGGTGCAAATGGCTGTACACTTGCATATTAGTGACTTTTTGTCTTTATCTTGGTGAGAAGAAAGCCAGAATGAGGAACATTGTTGGCCCAGTCTTCCTCTGCAAAGTGCAGTTCCTGAATGATTTGGACCCATTTAGTTATGGCATCAACTCTTTGGAACCTCTGGAAGCACCTGAATTCAGCTTCAATATCCATGTCCCATTGATGAACCAAATACCTGCTCTAATGAAAGTTTTAAGAGCACCTCACAATGTCAGTGATGTCACCCTTCAGGTTTACAAAGATATGGACTTTGGAAGCTATTTGGACATTGAGGCCACTCTCAATGAGCAGCTAGATGAGTTTGATGGTTTTTTTGACAACCCAAGGAATTCTCTTGTTGTCAGGTGCCAGCTATCAGTTCGAGTGCACATCATTCTTGAGAAACTCATGAATTCTGAAGGTCGAGAGCTTCGACGAGCCCTGTTTTCCTTGAAACAGATATTCCAAGATGATAAAGACTTGGTACGTGGATTTGTTGAGAATGATGGACTGGGATGTTTGGTCAAGATTGGTTTGGAGACAGATCAGAATTATCAAAACTACATCCTTCGTGCTCTGGGTCAAGTTATGCTCTATGTGGATGGAATGAATGGGGTAATGGATCATAATGAGACCATTCAATGGTTATACATGTTGATATCCTCCAAGCATCGTCTTGTTGTGAAAACAGCTTTGAAGCTCCTACTTGTCTTCATTGAATACACAGAAACTAACTGCCTTCGCTTGATCAAGGCCATACATGCAGTAGATATGTTGCAGGAATTGACACCATGGTATAACCTTATGCTGCTTCTGTATGACTTCGACTGCACTGACTGGGAATTGCTCACATTTGCGATGAAACTAGTCAACAATACCCTCCAAGAGATCATTGATCGTGACACATTTTTCAGCCAAGTGGATTGCCTCAACCGGCTGGGAATGGAGAAAACAGCCCAGCATTACCTATGTACATCAGGCATAGAGCTTGGACTCATTCAAGAGGTGAGCATGTACCAGACACGCATCAGGCGCCGAAGCACATATGAGGAGCGCACAGAAGACTTGGGTGCCCTTGACCTCACCCCAAGAAGCACATTTACATGGAACAGTCCAGGTGCACAGGAGAATATGGATAGTCTGTTGGGAGATCCAGGAGTGGCGAATGATAGGCATATATCGACCAATTTTTCCAAGTCCAAGACATCAGGGGCTTTAAACAAATTTCTGCCTCAGACTAATGGAAATGATGGAGTTCACAGAGCTTGTCAACCTTCACAGTCCTTTGTTTTCAGGCAAGATCCTACAGACCACTTCAGTGTCAAGCTTACAGAAATCACACCAGCCATGAGGAAAAGGAGAGAGGAAGTAAACAAGTCCAAGGCTCAGACAAACGAAGATTCATCATCTGTTTCATCCACCAGTTCTGCATCCAGTTCTGGAGATTCATCAGATTCAGAGAACAGTAGCATAGCAGATGCAGGCTCCCCATCCAAACAGGGCAGCCCAAAACAAAAAAGCTTTAATCAGCTGGACAAGAGAGCAAGTTCTCGGAATCTATGTCCCTCCTCAGTTCCTCATAGTGCTCAGCCCCCTTGGACAAAGTTGCCCAAAATCCCTGGTCCAAGTAAAAGTGAAGTCAATATCTTTAAAGTCATGGATAAAAAGAACCGAGAAGGCCAAACAGAGCAACAAAGTAACTTGGTATCATGTAACAGCTTTGCTCCATCTGATCTGAAGAAGCAAGACAGCTGTGTCCTCAAGAAATCTTGGCTTCTAGGAATGATGTATTCCAAAGAGAGAGATGGAGGAGTAGGTCTCATTAATGAAAAGGTGGCAGAAGAATCTAGCATTGATGAATCGGAAACTGATGGATCTGAATTTAGAGAATCTCAAGTAAAACGCCAATCCGTTAATGAAGAACTAAGTGGAGTTGTGTCTAGGGCCAAAGAGAGTCTCAATGATCAGGTCAATAAATCAAAGTCTCGGTTGGAGGTACCATTACCAGGGCTCCCAAAGCAGAAGAGCAATAAAGACTTGCGAAAGAGTGAGAACGATATCCAATGGGAAAAACTCTTGGAAACATTAGATCGACCACTGAAGTTGTGTGACCTCGACTTCACAGACTTGAAAGGAGATGATGATATTAATGTCTGTACACCAAACACATTGAGGTTGAATTTCTTCAGTCAGTACTCTGGCGATGTACCCCCTCCACCTCCCCTAGGAGGAATACCACCACCACCCCCATTTTCTTATAATGAGCCACCACCTGCCCCTCCACATTCCAAGTTCTGCAGGCCGAGTCAAGAGTCTAGTCAGCCCAGTCTAGTCATCCGTAAGAATAAGAAGACAGTGAAGTTGTTCTGGAGGGAAATCAGGGATGATTCTGTGATACAGAAACTTCTAAAGGATCAGAAAATGCTATGGGATGAAATTCAGCCTGTGAAACTGGATACATCAAAATTAGAATATCTCTTTGAGAACCGTGCCAAAGACATCACTAAAGAGAAGCAGATGGATGCCAAAGCAAACAAAGAGATCTCAATACTTGACACTAAACGTTCAAATGTGATAAATATTGCCCTGACAAAGCTTCCACCACCAAGAGCAATAAAGGCAGCTATTCTGAAGATGGATGCAACCATCATCAACAAAGAAGGAATCGAGAAGATTCTCACCCTTTTGCCAACCACAGAGGAGAAGCAAAAGATTGCTGAGGCTCAACTCAACAATCCTGATGTGCCTTTTGGAACTGCAGAACAGTTTCTGCAGACTTTGGCCTCAGTAAGTGAAGTTGAAGCACGCCTCAAATTATGGGCATTTAAACTCAACTTTGAGAATGCTGAGCAAGAGATTGCTGAGCCTTTGATGGATCTGAAACAGGGGATGGAGGTACTTCAGGCCAGTACCACATTCAAGAACATAATGGCCATCCTCCTTTCCATTGGGAACTTCTTGAATGGAGCTGAAGCTCGAGGCTTTTTCATAGACTACCTAACCAAGGTCCCTGAGGTCAAGGACACAGTGCACAAGCACACATTGGTATATCATGTAAGCCAAATGATGGTTGAGATGTTCCCAGATAGCAAAGACTTATATTCAGAGATAGGTGCTCTCACTAGGGCATCTAAGGTTGACTTTGAGGAACTTGCAGCTAATCTTGAGCACATTGAAGTAGACTGTAAGGCTTCTTGGGAGCATCTCAAGGCCATTACAAAGCATGATACTTCTCCACAAATGAAGGCGAAGTTGTCTGAGTTCCTCTCTGACTGTGCAGAGCGCATCATGATCTTGACTATTGTTCACAGGCGAATCATGAATCGATATAGAAAATTCCTGCTGTGGCTTGGCATTCCTCCTTCTCAGATGCATGATATTAAAACTGACAGAATCTGTAGGATCATAAGTGAATTTGCTCTTGAATACCGGACAACAAGAGAACGAGTATTACAGCAGATTGAGAAGAAGCAGTTATACAGACAACGTAACAAGACCAGGGGAAAGATGATCACAGAGGTAAAAGAGTACAGAAAGCCTGAGGAAAAGAATCTCGACCAGCTGACCCAGCTTCTGTGTGACTCTTCTGATACAGAGGGACGATTAAGGGGACGAACCCCAGTCAAATATAAGCAGAGACGGAATACTGAAGCACTGCCAAAGCAAATAACCAATGTCAAGGATAGAGAACTGATGACTACTCTGATGAGTGGGAAAAATACTAGTGATCAAGTTGGAGCAACTCAACGTCGAAGGCCTCAAAGAGCAAGAAATTCAGCCCCCGCTCGATATGAGCGTCGAAGTCTCAAGCATGGACTCACTGAGAGTCAAAAGAAGTCTCTAGGCATCTTGTAAACCTTGTGATACATAGAATATCTGTTCATGTGCCAAACAACTGGTACTATTTTGTGACTATTCTTGGTTGTCTTCTGTTTGAGCACAATGTGAGGTGTGAATGCTAGTTTTTTTTTATGAATGTGACTTCCTGAAATGGGGTATAAAGAAATTTTAACAGTGCAACACATGCTATAACTGTGACTGTGATTCAGAGACTTTTCTGTGAGACCCCCTACTGTGCCTTCCAGATTTGTGCAGTGACTGTGTTCCATCTAATAAGAAAGGAGAACAGTAGTTTATTGAATGGGTCACCAAACAAGGACAGCCTGAATGTGATCTTCCTCTGGCCATGTGGTCTAGGTATTGGAGAAACCTATACTCTAGATGGACTCGTAGGTTTCATTGGTGGGTCCAGTTCCTTAATTTTTCTCAAATTTAATTTCCCAGTTCTTTCATGCAATCTAGTCCTCATGTTTGTCTGTCACAGTTTCATGTACTGCCTTCCACTCATCACTGCCTTGTATACAGAACTGTTAGTATACTACCTCACTGCTCATTCATGGCCGCAGCTAACTCAAAGAGACTTCAAGAATCCCATACGTGTACTCCTTGTTGCCGATCCTCAGATTGTGGGTGAACTTTTTGAGCCAAGGAAACCAATTGGGAACCTCTTCCGTTGGGATGCTGATAAGTATGTTATTAGAATGAAGCTTTTTCTGTCTTCACTTTTAATATCCTTAGTTGCACAGAAAAATATGTTCCTTTGCAGCTACCTTAGGAAGACATATTTCCTTGTTCATGAACATGTTCAACCTCATATTGTTGTGTACTTGGGAGATCTACTTGATGAAGGGAGTATAACAACTGACAGGAAAGTATGGGACCGATACATGCAGAGATTCTTCAGCATATTTCCTCAGACTTCAAATGAGGTAAAGGCATTTTCTTATATAAACTTGTTTGGAACTAAAAATGGCTTTTCTTGCACCATTGAAGAATCTGTTCACTTCTAGGTTTCCTTGTTTCTTCCGGGGGATAATGATATTGGTGGTGAATCAGATCCAATCACCAGAGAGAAGATCAACCGATTCTTCAGTAGCTTCAAGAATCATTCTACTGTCACCTATAGATTCATCCAAATTGTCCCGGTACATTTTCCAGGTTTAATTGTTCAGAACTATTGCAGAGGTTTATTCTACTACTATTAGAATTCCATGCTGGAGAAACTTACTATGCTACATAGTTATCATTAGTAGATAGGAATGACTTTCAAAGTAAAGGTGTGGGTTTTTTTTTTCTTCATGCATTAGCATCAACTAAACATCCAAAAACTCAGAGAGGAAGTTGGTTTCCACAATCAAACACCATGGACCAATTTCATCATTTACGTTGATCATTTTGCCCGCAATGGATACATATTTCAGAAAGAAAAGGTGAGTTTAATTTCATAGTGTATTAATTTATTTCACTTAATGTTATTAAGTGCTGCTTTAAAAATTTCTCTGATTCTGTATTTTTTCTGTGGCAGGGAACCAAACATACAGAAGTAGATCTTCTCATTGGAGCACATACTCATCGCTCTCGAATTCGGACATGGCACAGAGGAACACCGTTCAGTGAAGATGTTGTGGCAAAGCAGGATGAATATGCATTTGATACAACTGAGAAGGGCGTGGAGATCATTGTTCCAACTTGTTCCTATCGCATGGGTGTGACAGAGATGGGATATGGATTCCTGGAAATTTGTAAGTTCATTAATTCATTTGCAGAAAACTTAGTGCAAACTGATGATTGTAATCTTATGCTTTTCCTGATCAGTTGAAGATCGGAAGATGCGTTATGCTGTTTTGTGGCTGCCTCAACGCTTCTCCCACATCTGGGGTCTCCTGTTCATGACCTCAATATCTTTTCTCTTCACCCTGCTCCACTATGTGAAGATGTGTATGGAGCGCCACAAGTCATGGCACCATTGCAAGTACCTGATGCAGAAAGTTCATACTCTCCATAATATCTAGTCATAACTCCTTGCTGATACTGTAATGGACTTCCTGTGAGACTTGTTCTGCACTAGTCATATGTTGCATTTATTTCCCATCATCTTTCATTTTGCTCTCCCTCATCCCCTGGCCCTGAACATTGAGTCTTTTCATCTTTAAAGAATGGAGGTCTTCCAGCAACCTAGGCTATGTGCTGCCTGCATTTCCCATGACTGAATGTTAGACATAAGTATTTGGGGATTGATAAAATCCCTGTATAATTAATCGATACAGGGATTCAGAAACACTGCACAAATCTTGATACATGTGCCTTTTAGAGAGCCTTTATCTTTGTCTCCCCTGATCCTTAATCTCAGTCAACATAACTGTGCATTTGTTCTCTTTGAAGGAAAATAAAAAATGTTGAGCAAGGCTGCGAATTCATTGTCGAAAATACTCTCACAAAACAATAAGAAACAAAAATACAAAAAAGAATGCAAAAGTGTACATTTGCTGCATTGTGTGAAAGACAGATCTTGATCACCAGCAGAGCTGAATTACTTCTGGAAGATCGTATCAAGCTGGCGAAGAATGTCTTCCAATTCCTTGTTGATGTCACTGAGGCGTTTTGTATCCTCTTCATGTGGGATGTTAAATGGATCTTGGAAAAGATACTTGGAGCCAGAAGGCAGAGTTGCCAAGCATGATGTCAAATCATCCCAGCAATACTGAGTCCAGTTCTCAGGACTGTTTGCTTTCCGTGGCTGCAAAGAGTTTGCGGGTATTCCCTGCTGTGTATCAGATAGTCCAATGGGGCTGTATGGAAGGCTTTTCCGAGAGACAGGTAATTGGAGGAGAGCTGGAGTGCTCTCCAACCGCCCCATTCCACATCTTTCCTGTTTCCCATCTACACTATCAGTACCAGTGTTCAGTTGCTTGAGGTAACCCTATGGGAAATACCTTCAAATTTTAACCAGCAGGTTTTTGTCAGATGTACTCATAAGACAGAAATAACTCTCACCTGGAGAAGCATCTTTAGACGAGCAAGTTGAGCATCGAGTTGACAAGAACATTCCTTAAGAACATCTTCTTTATCTTCTCCCTTTGACCCATTCTTCATCCTGATTCTTTCAATCTCTTCTTGAAGTTTCCTGAAAAGAGCCTCTGTCAAATCATGATACTATTTCAAGTAATTCATTGTCCCTATTGAGAACATATTGAAAGCACCTCAAGTTCATCAGCAATGACCAGAAGGATTTCCCCATCATATGTTTTAATAGGCAATCCCCTCCCTTGACACTTGAATGTTTAGTGGTATTGCAACAAGACTTAGCAGGAGTCTGGGGAAGGGTAGTGGATACAAAACACTGCCAACAGTGGACACAGTTGACAATGAAGAATGCAAGATCTGCCTTATGAATAAATGCAAAAACTTCCAACATCCTTGGCTGCATTATAGAAAAGCATGGGCTCTCCATGCTTTTCTATAATGCAGCCTTGAGAGGGTGGTGAATTCCTGTCATAAGCACTGGAGTAATCCCTCTATAGGGGAGTCATGCAAGATGAAGGATGCAGAACGTTAAAAATGCAAGTGGGATGCAACAAGACATGAGCATTGTGTTTTTTCCTAGTTAAATACAAAAATAAGAAGGCAAATACAACAATGAATTCAAATGGATGCTGTGTTGGATGGGAGCATCAAAATTGACATTTGGAAAATAAAATGTGACAGTAGTTTCTCACCCCAGTAATAGATGACTGCCTTCAAATTTTACTTCCACTGCACACATCTCCAAATGCATTTGCATGCAGCACTGCCATTGTGATGGCACAGGTTTGAGATGCAATTGTTACATTTGACTTTCCTTGGTGAAGGTCTTGAACTGGTAAGGCAATATCTAGCATGCCTTTCTTTGAAGTCCAACATCCACCACAGCAATGCATTTGATCTTTAGGTTGCTTTTGACTTTACTATTTTCATATTTGACTTAGAAAACCAATACATATTCCAAGTAACACCTGCTATCACCATTCTGCATACCGATTCTCCATCTCAAGGTGAAGCAGAATTTCTTGCAGCTGTATCTTCTGTGGCCCCTGGGGCACCCTCTCATTTACATTTGCAGGCGTTGACAATGGAGGAGCAGGGGGAGAGTCTGGTACCTCATCTGCTACAACACCACTGCTTGAACATGATTCATAACTAGGAGATCTCCTTCCTGTATTAGACAGGGGGGGTGGTGGAACCAGTTGAATGGGGGACATCTCCAAAACCTCCATCCTGTAATGAAGTACACCAGACATGTTATGTGTGGTATGCAATACTACATAGAATACCCTTGGTAAAGACAAGTGCCTCACAGATCAGATGGGATTCTGGTGAGGGTCTCAATTGGAAGGAAGCGTGGATTCCGTTCTGGATCAGGTCGACAAGAACGGAACAAGCGAAGCTGGTTGCATAGCTTCTTCAGCGTTGCTCTGATTGCCTCCTTACTTGTCCTCTATAAAAAATGTAGGGAAACCCTTTTAGCTTGACAGCTCAAAAAGACAAATGTAACCGTCCTCATGGGTATTTGATGAGATTGGCTGTGCCTCTAGCAGGTTTATAAAAGAGCATTGAGCATGAATTTGTCAATGAGCCACAGGTGGAAAAAGAGTATAACAAGGTATGCCCAACCAAAAATTTGAACCTCATTTTTCCACAGAAAATAGGGATGCGAGATCTATAGTTTCCTCTGCATAAACCAAAATCATTAAGTAGGTGAGTTCTCTCTGTACTGACGTGTGTGTGTGAGACATGAACTCAAAGTAGACAATAAAAGTTTTTATATTTCAAAAGGTAAAAATTACATTGAGGTATGGAGATTAAGCATCACCTGAAGAGATAGGAAAAGAAGAGTTATAATAGAAAATAAATGTCAGAGTAATCACACTTACCCTGTTACAGGGATAAGCATGATCCCAAAGAGGGAAATGTGACCATCTGGAAATTGGCATTGGGATGATGTGATATAACTGTAGGTGTTTTGCATTTTAAGCAAGTATACATGTCCATTTGCTTGATCAGAATGTATTCATGTGCAAAGCAATTTCTCATGTCAGTATTTCTTCTGGCGATCACACCTCTATTAAGCCAGTAGGCATGTGTCACTAATAGGAATGGGAAAACATACAGCTACCCTTTAATGACTAAAGAAGGTATGGTTTCATTGCTTCATGCCCTCAGCAACACCAGTGATCTCCAAGGAACTGCTCACACCCTATCACAATGCATGCATCTCAATTTTGCTTATCAGCAAAAAGAAGCTAAGCAAATTTTAAGGACTGCTTGCTATAGCTTCAAAGGCTGCATAAACTTCAGCTCCTCATGGAGCAGGCACAACCCAACTCTGGGAGGTGTTCCAACTGAAGATAAGAGGCTTGTAGTGGAGGAAAAATATATTTTCTTCCCACAAGCCTGAAGCAACAAACCTGAGTTTTCACAGGAAGGATATAGATGTGAGTGAAGTGGGTCAAGCCAGTTGCACCCCCCTATTTTTCTATAGATGAGACCAAACTGAGAGTGATTTCTATTTGGAAACTTTCTGAATGAAATAGTGCCATGATAGGACTAGAATATGAAGCTGTCTTCATCATGCAACATTGTATCTCACAAAAGAGGATCCCTGCCTCTATACCCTTCCTGCCATACACCCCTTATTTGAGCCTCCATTTAATTGACTTTCAGTACATTCAATGCAAAGGTGAATAGACATCTGGATGCTGTTTCATCTTAGATTGCTGATAGCCACCATGCTTCTACTCAAGGTGTTTCTTTGGCCTAATTTTGCAGAAAAGTTATTGAAAAAATTGTGCAGGCACAATAAGAGTTTGCATTTCCAATTTTTGCTGTAGAGCATACTCATTTGTTTATTATGAATAGAGAAGTCACTTTTGAATAACTTATTTCTTTCCATGCTGAAGTTGGGAATAGTCTTCACTGCCTGATTTCTCCTTCCTTGACATTAATTCCTTAAGGGAAAATGGTCAAGTTCCATTCATCACAACCACCCTTTCTAGCACATAGGATCAGAATCAAGTTGGTTTGGTATGTCATTAGGGCTGATTCACACAGACTGCAGGTTGCAATGCAGTGCTTTGCAGGCAGTGTGCATCAGCCCTTACCCATTTGCAAGTTTCACATTCTCTCAAGGAGATTTATGAAACATAATCAATGTGATATGTTCTAAACTAGCCAAATATGAGAGTATTTAAAAGACGCCAAAACTCAGCATAAAATTCAAAAGGGCATGACCACAAATGTTTCTAAGGAAACACTAAAAAATACAAAATGCAGAATGGGGAGAGAACGGATGAAGGAGGGAAGGGCATATCCTTTAGTGAGGTGGAAAATTTTAGGGTCATGGTTTTTGAAAAAGTTTTCCATTGGAATGAAGCCAGGGTAGAAGAGGGCAGGGAGGATCAGCTCCCTTTGCATTTGGCCCACCCATGCTTTGACCATGCAAGTAGTACACGAGGCTGAAGGACGGAGATGCTACACAATATCTATTATATGTTTTTGCCCAAGCTCAATTTTCAGTTTAAGTAGCTCTCCCCCTAACCTCATAAATAATATTTGGTCTCTTTGAAACTCCACAAATATCCATGAGGAAGAAAATTCACAAGAGTGACTATAGAAACATACCGGATAACAATATTCTTCAATGGGATGAGAGTGTCGGTGGGCCTTGGAAACTCTGCCTTGAAAGAAGCAGTCTTGGCATAGATTGTAGCTAAGACAGCGGAGACACTGGTAGCAAAGGCCTTGGATGGACCCCTTTCGACAAACACTGCAATTCACTGCATGTACCACTGAAGCAAAACAAGACAAATAATCTAAAATGAACTAAATGCCCAGACTACCAAGATAATGGAATATGAATTTATTTCATATAAATTAGGATGTTATACAAAGATAAATGAAAGAGGGAAAAAATAAACGCCAATTAGATTAAATAGGATAAAAGTTTCTAAAACATGATGAATTGGTATATTTTCCAATGATTTGGCAAATCTCAATGATGCCTCTAAATTGAAACTTTTGTGGGAGTGGAGTGCTTTGCAAAAAATCCATTCACCAACAGTTCTGTTTTATAGACAATTCAGTTCACTGAATGGTTTTGCCAAGAGGGCTCGTTTTGCAGAATATCGTTTCCCAGACAGAATACGTTACAGTGGTCAAGCTAAAGGTCTGATTCAGACCTGACAGCTTGATTATGTGAAGCTGTAGCTATGCCTGGGGCATAGCATTTGTGTCATTAGTAACTGAAAATGTGACTTCCAAGTTTTACCAGCATTAATTGAAGACTGCAGTCCATGCATTAGATGCAAATGAGAAAGAAAATAAAAGAATATTGGCATGGCATTAATGGAAAGTACTCTGTGATCACTACTACAGATGGAATGGATTTTGTAGAACAGCCATCTGAATTGCATGATCATAGTGTAAATGATGCTAATTCCAATCCCCTTAAGCTTAAAATCCACACTCTCATCTATGTTTTGAAATAAATGGTCTTTTAGATCTACACCATTTGAGGGGAAAATGCACACACTGCCCATTCGTGTTTCAAGACTGGACATTGGTGTAATTTGGTTGAAAAAGGTTGTTTTTATTTTTTTTATTACAATGAATTACGTAATGTGGGAGACAGACTTTATAGCAGTGTGAGAATTTATATCACCTACACTACTCCCAACAAGGTAGAAATTGCAAGGATTGGTGGAAGTTGACTGAAGGAAGTCAATAAGTAAGTGGCCAATCCCACTGATTACATATCAGAAATTGGAAACAAGGTTTAATGGCGTTACATTTCCAAAGTGAGATAGTGCCTTTATTGGATTGAACAATATTCATAATGTTGCCATGAATATATGGTAGAGGTACCAATGTTGATATTTTGCTATAAAGCAATTCATATCTAGACTGATTGATGATGCTGAATATGTTTTGAAGGCAGAAATGCTACACTCAAGACACCACTGCTGCTACTCTTTACAAAATGGGAAATCTCAGGATGAGAAGTCATGGCATTAGAATATATTCTCTAAAATATGACAGATGTACTAGTTTTTATTCTACAAACGGTCTCATTTCTGCAAAACAGACACTGTAGATAGATCTCATCTGGGAAGTGATTTTGATAAATGCCCTTAACATAACTTTTGCAGAGGGAATGATTAAGCAGTGGAGCCTCCTGATCAGAACTCTTGCACCTGTTTTTTTTTTTGCCTGCAAAATTTGTCAACACCAGATTTTATATGTATTACATCCACACATAGATCATGAATGCAGCTGAATACAGTTGAGGGCTTGGGTGATAAAAAATAGTTATCTGACATTGCAATAAAACTCTGTTGTTAGCATGAAACAAATCAGGCTAGACTTTCTGTTATCTGCCCCTCTTTCTTCTCCTCTCCACCATAAAATAATGGATGCTGACAGCAAAATCTGCCAGTATTGCCAGTTTCAGCCTAAAGAGATTCCTATTATATAATTCTCAGCACCATCAAAAACTACATAAATTAAGCAACTGCTAAAGCTTTGCAAAACTTAGTAGTGAATAACTGCCAATTTTGACCTAGTTTAACCGAGTAGACCCGTTCGAAAAAATGTTGGATAAGGCCCGTTCCACTCAGACAGTCTGAGTACATTTTATTCCGGCAAACGACGCCAATACCATACATAAGAATATTTATTGTCATGACATTGAAAAATAATACAGACAATTTATTCAATGGTCCTGATAGTTTAAAAAATAATGACAGTAATAGACCGAAATATGTCGTAGTGAGTCCAGTGGACTCACCTTGCCCGGATTAGGGTTAAGAAGTGTATTATCCTCATGGGTGTGAAATGCATATAGAACAGTCAGTACCTGATTCTGCAAGGGATAGTCTTTGAAGGGTAGACCACCATACAAGAGTTTGAGGTTCCTGTAGCATCCATTCCATGTATCTGCCTTCACTCAGTCCCAACGGCTCCCAACAACCCTTCTGAAGTGAATTTCATTTTCAGGGCCTGTGTTCTTATTCTTAGCTCATTGTCTCACATTTCCATTGAACTTCATCTAACCTGGTTGAATGAAGAATCAACTGTAGCTGGAATGCGTTGAATGCCAAAAACATTCCCTTCTTCAAGGTACTCCGTGATTAGGCCCAATTCCTTGATGAGTTGAGCAAGTTTCTTCCTTGACAGGCAGTTGTTGTGATCAGATACTTGTCGAAATAGGTCTGTAATAATGCATTGTAAGATGCAGCATACAAGGCTTCAAGGGAAAAATCCTCAAGAATCAATTTTAAAATTGAGTATCCAATGAAGCAGATATGACCCTGGTTCCTTTATCTTAGGTTAACTATGAACATCAAACAATTCATGTTGCTTACAAAGTTTGATGTAGGTCTAAGGGTATACCACAAAGAAAAGTGCAGACTTACAGCGATATTTGTGGTGCTGCTTCCCCAAACATAAGACACTTAGCAGTGCCTGTACTGACAAGACTCGAATGCCTCCTACTTGACCCCTATGTATTTTTAATTAAAGAGAATGGACAGCTATACTTACAACATGATCATGATTGCAATGTTGTACAGGGTGGTCCACTAATTGTTCAACAATTTAAAAATAAATAAATAATTGAAATTACATTATATTTACAAAAATGATACTTAAACCAACTTGAAAAATAGAGTTTCGAATTTTATTTTTACCTTTCATAAAAAAAGAAGCTCATTTAACTTGTAGAAAATTATTTGATTAATTGATTATTGAATCATTTGATTTGATCACCATTCCTGTTAGCACACTCTTTGCAATGTATCAAACCATTGGTCATTGTTTCTGTTAGTGTTTGTATGCCAATCCTTCTGAAGTGCCAGATGCATCTTTTCAACTCTTCTGCATTTCAAGGTCTGGTTTGGTTAATATGGCTCTTACAATGCCCCCATGAAAAGAAATTTGGAGCCAAGAAGTCTGGTGATCATGCAGGCCGGGGAATTTCACCATTCCTAGAAATAAGCATTAGGCCAAAATATTGGCCCAAGGCCCCCTTTTGCCTGAACTTTGCCTGAACTGAAGGAAGATAAGTTAAATAATAAGTTAATATGTTAAAAAATAAATTTATTTTTGTGGGGGCATTGTAAGAGCCATGTTTCCTTTACAAGGCCTCAAAATGGAGAAAAGTGAAAAAGAAGCATTTGGCAGTTCATCAGAGGTATTAGTATACAAATACTAATAGAAATAATAAACAGTGCTTTAATTGTTAATATGTAAGTACTGAATCAGTGATGGGGCCATTGGTTAAGGAAGCTGTCAGATGTCTGTCCGTTCTGTAAAGATGGAATCTCTTTCTTCTTGTATCGAAGTCGGCATTGAGAGAGGTTAGTTGTCAGCTCCCCTCATGCAACATGCATGAGGATCCCCCCTTTCCCCCCAATGTTTAACATGTTAACAGTAATGGTGGTAATCTTAATCAAATAATTTTCTGCAAGTAAAAAAAGCATATTTTTATGAAAAGGAAAGGCAAAAATGAAATTCAAAACTCTATTCTTCAAGTCAGTTTGAATTTCATTTTTATAAATATAGTGCAATTTCAATTATTATCAAATAAAATTGTTGCACAATTAGTGAACCACCCTGTAGAAATAAGAAGCCTCTCACCTGTCATAGATCTGAAACAGAAGATTGAGTGTGAGTTCAGCACAAGCAGTCCATGTTGTGCTGATCTTTCCCTGCTCCTCCTCTTTTGCCTTCAATGTATAAAAGATGTCATGGACAAGGGCATCAATCTGTTGGACTTCAAGTAATGTTTCAGCTTCTCCAGGTCGTAGTCCATGTCGATCTAAGACTGCCACAACTACAGCAAAGCTGATTGAATCCCCTGGAATGATGAATGAAACATGTGCTATGACACATATAGGGTAAGACTTATATGAATTTTACCAACCAATTTCATTGTTCAGCTCTTGTGATACATTGGGCAATAATCAGCATTTTAATTGTCCAATAAAATAATTTATTTTTCAATGGCCCTAAATTCCTTGAGCCCCCAAAGAGCCAATTAGGATAATTTTGTAAACATTTTACGAGTAAAGAAGTGTTTAAATTAGGGCTGTCAATAGATTTTAAAATGTAATCAATCATGAGCCATTTAATCGATTAATCAAATTTTAATTGATCCCATGGTTCCTCCTTGAATTATGTCTTAGGCATCGGAAATGATTCTGCTTGTGTCATGCCCAATACCTGGGCGAGCCTTGGGAAGTGACTCAAGGTGATGCAGTTGCTAACATAGCAATAACTATCTATACATACACTAGTGCATCCTCCAAGTGACATATTCCAGTTGGAAAGAAAATGGTAACAACTTAGCCAGATAAATAATGAAATGCAAGCAAAGAAGAGCACTGAGCCCCTTCATCATTTAGCCAACCCATAATGGAAGGATGCAAAAATGTAACCTAAATGATTAGATGTATACTGTGACACTTCATTATGTGGAAGTTTAAAAATTCATGAACGACTTATGGGTAACATAGGATGGAAGAGAAAAAATAGGAGCAAACAAGGAATAGGAGAGGGTTTCCACTTCTCTTGCCTGCCCTGGGCTTTCCCCCTCTTTACTTTCTGGGGGCTCCCATAGACGTTCCCCAGTACACTTACCATGTACACTTTCACTCCCCAGTCTTTACATTATCCTCTTTCCTGCCTCTCCTGTCCTGTGCCCCTGCCCAACTCCTCTCTACCTTCTGTGCTTACCCTTGCAGCTTCTTCATTATGACTTTCTTTTCTCCATTCACATTCAGTGACTTTTTGGTCGCTCTGCCCTAGGCCGTTGTTACCTTAGACCAGGCTAGGAAAACCCTTGTGAACCTGTGAACAAGGTTCACAGGAATGGAGACACATGAGCGGGAAGCCCGCTTAGTCCACTTGCATATCCTTCCTGGGAAATTCCCATTTGTTGTCTCAGGTTTGCAGAAAAATATGTATATACGAGGGTCACTCAATAAGTTATCTACCTGAATAAGAAAGAAACATCAGAGGGGAAAAATAACACTTTATTTTTCAATGTAGTCACCTTTTAACTCAACACACTTATTCCACTTTGATTCCAAGGATNCTACCACTTTGAACGGACTTGAGCCACTGAGCTGGTATAGTGGTGGGGCACTCACGAGACCTGTCGAGACATGTCACAGCAGGCACAGGCCTGTTGCTCATCCCTTTCATATTCAGGTAGATAACTTATTGAGTGGCCCTCATACTTCCTACACTGCCTTAGACTGACGTGCAAGACTATGCCTTTAAAGGCTGTGGGCTAGGCAGGACAAGAGAGATGTACTAGTATGACTGTGGATGCAAAAGGGTCAGGAAACTTTATTTTTCAATAGTCTGAAAATGATGGCTTTCTTTCTGTGTGCTCCCTTTTTCCAAAAACAGTATGCCATATTTTGAGGAAGAGTGAGCAGTGTGAAAATGACTACCTTCTATAAGCCATCATTACATTTCATTCCCTTGATAAAGCATTCGTTTTTGGTTATTTTGCAAAACTATGAACTACAGGGTAAAATTATGGGGGGGAAAGGGGGAAGATTTGGGGGTTAATTAAATTTCGATTAATTTCTACTGATTATTTTAATTGCAATTAACACTTTCATTGATTGATCTAATCGAATTGACAGTCCTAGTTTAAATAAAAGTTTACTTTTCAAGATATTGATATAACTGTACTATTCAATATAACAGATGTAATTAAGTAATTTTTTGCCACCATCACAAGATTGTTAAGCTTCAAATCTCAGCATTTTCATGCCCTCACTTTGAGAACAGCATTTAGATAGGAAAGGTCACAATGATGATACTCCATTAGAGGGAATAATATGACCATCAAATGGTCACACTATCCCCTCGACTAGACCCATGTGATCCATCAAAGTAGTAAACAAGAATAAATTAGGCTTGTATACAAGTCTATCCATATGCATATTCTATTCAAAACACCATTTCTGCCAGTGATCACATTCACATCCACCTCATTTTAGTAAGTGGGTGAATATTCTTTATGTGAATATGGAAACTATCCAGCTACCCTTTTAATGATGAATGGACATTGTTTTATTAAAGAACGCCCTTCCCATCATCAGCCATCTGTTCCTCACTCTTGATTTTTTCAACTTGTTCTCTGCTAGGTATAATAGCAAAATAACAACTGCCAATATCATGCTAAGACCAATACACATTCTACACTGGATGCATAAAGTGAAAATTATTTTAAATTTTATTTGTCAAGCCCTAAGGATTTAGTATTGGCAGGCATCGCACTAAGTTTCTTGCCCTGACCTCCTCCCCATGCATCCTAGGGGTCCCAGGAATCTCCCCCCCCCCCCTGCTGCACAGGCAGAAGGTCTAAGACTGCTGGATTGAATATCATAATGCTTGGTTATGTTAAAGTCAGCAATTAAACAAAGATTGCAGGAATTTTACATTTGGGGAACCCTTCAAGATTCCCTCATGCTTTCACTTGGAAAGTAACCCCCTTAATTATCAGGGGGTCATATCAGATCAGAGGGTCCCAGGGACCCCTACAACAAGAAACCTAGCACAACTCCTGATTGGCCTATATGGAAGGTAGGATGACAACATGCACCTACTTTCTCCATCTGCCACTGTTGTTCAAGGAAGAATCATAATATTAAAAAATGCTAATATACCAGTCCTTTTGCCAATTGGCCTTGGTTACCAGAGGTTTCATCAAACTTTCACCAGATATATTCAATTAAACTCATTCTATTCCCTCAAGACCAATTAGGCTACTTCAGCAAAGCCTTAGGTCTACCATAGTAACACATCTATAACCAAAAGTTAGGCAGGGTTGAATTCACACATTGCAAGGCCTACATTGAATAATGAGCCTGTGGCCAACTCACAGTGAAGAGCTTTCTGAAGCAATCGGATCTTGACAGCTGTTCGGTAAGCAGCATACTTGATGGAATCACAAGCTTTAAGCTCCTTCCACACTTTCTCCAATAGTGGATGTCTCCAGCTGGTTTCCTGTGTTTCGTCACTGTACATCGACAAATGCAAATGAATAAATAAAGCCTGGCCTAACTGGGTTAGCCTGCATGATTGAAGATAGATGAAACAGAAATGGATTCTTACTTCAAGTAGAAGGGGCATCCATCAGAATTCAGTAGCCTCTTCCAAGCACTATTAAAGGTGAAGCTTTGTGTATCAGTGGAAACTACACTCTTCTTCCTTCCTGCAATCGCTGAGATCGGTAAAGCAATGCCTTCACCGTTTGCGCAACTGACTGAACCATTTCTCCTCGTTTCTCTAGATGTAGCCATGCTGGGCATCGGCTACACCTAGATTACCTTATTCCAGCACCAAACTATTAAATTTTGAATTGATAAAAGACTCGGAGTCTAAGAAACCTAGAAGATAAGATAAGGAGGGTGCGGAGCGGATTATTCAAACGGCCCCGCTGTTGTCGCTAAGCATATGGGACCCCCAGCCAATCCGCTTCCAACGAATCGCCAGACAAACGTGAATGTACAGGGTTGCCAGATCCAACAAGGATATGGCATGGGGACAGATTCCTCATAACTGCGGGGAAAAGGGAAAGATTGAAACTATGGAATACTGATAAAATTACACGTTTTGCGTGTCCTACAGGAAAATCTTACTCGCACATCATCTGTTTGGGTCAGGATAACAAATAATTCCTAGATCTTCCTACACTACTTGTTGCAGCTACGCCACGTTAAGATGGCGATATCTATAGCACCTTTCCCACGTGGATTCATCATACTTTTTGCCTCCCACGTCAGCTCATTAATAAAGCCCATGTTTATTGATTGCTGAAATCGTTTCTGATGGTTCTCCGAGCCGCGGATTTCTCCTCGTGGACCTGGGCAATGAAGTATTATGCTGGAGGTAATCTGCGTGTTTGGATTTGTGATCACGTCCTGTGTTCAGGGGTGTTGCTATCCCCAAGGTGACCAAGACGTGAACCCCAGTTTACGCCTTAGCAAGGAAAATGCGACCGAACAAACATTGCCGCCAAAGCGAGGCTTCAACATCTTTCGATTTCGACCGGATTACCTTGAGAGACAATATGGGGATTTCCCCGAATCTGAACGACTGCAAATGCTCCAAGAAGCCAAGAAAATGTTTTATTTCGGATATGATAATTACATGAAGCATGCCTTTCCAAAGGATGAACTGAATCCCATTCACTGCAATGGCAGAGGACCAGATCATCAGAACCCGTAAGTTTTGTTGTGTGCTTGTGAAAGTTGAATTCCTGGGCAGTGGCTGAAGGCTCAACTTTTGGAGTGTGTTGATTAAAAGACAAGAGGTTTGTTGTATAGGGACAATTGGAACATCAATGATATATTGGGTGACTATTCCCTGACACTTGTGGAATCTTTGGATATGCTGGCCATCTTGGGGAACTTCTCAGAATTTCAGAGAGCTGTGGAGCTTATTAAGAATTTCGTGGATTTTGATAAGAATTCAACAGTGCAGGTTTTTGAAGCAACAATTCGGTGAGTTGGAATACCACACATGGTCTGTACTAATTAGGAATGCTGATTCATAGCCTATGACTAATTTTTATTTTTGCTTTTCATTTTCAGGGTGATTGGTTCTCTACTATCAGCTCATCTATTGATGGAAGATAAGAAACAACCTTTTGGTTCCCTGAAGCCACACTGGTATGATGGGGAGCTCCTGGGACTGGCTCGTGAGCTGGGCACCAGGCTCCTCCCAGCATTTGAGTTCAGCCCAACTGGATTACCATATCCCAGGGTATTCTTTGATAAATGACACATTGTTCTATTTTTTTGCAGTTATGATTTATGTTTGGTGCAGTGCCAAGCAAATGCTTTCCTTTGATATGTAGGTGAATCTTCAGACTGGAGTACCAAAAGGATGGTTGAATGACACATGTACAGCTGGTGCAGGGTCATTGGTACTAGAGTTTGGGATCCTCAGCCGTCTCTCAGGTGATCCTACCTTTGAAGCTTCAGCTAGACGAGCTAACAGAGCTTTGTGGAACCTTCGCAGCCCAAAAACACAGTTGTTTGGTATGTCTATTGCCTTGATTTGAAAATTTCAATGTGGACTGTATGGTGTACTTGAGATTGGCAGAACAGGAGATGTCTTGATTCCTTCTTTCAGGTAATGTAGTCAATGTGGAGAGTGGAAAATGGGTTGGCCATATGAGTGGTGTTGGTGCTGGTATTGATTCCTTCTACGAGTATTTGCTTAAGACTTACATCATGTTTGGGAATCATGAAGACCTGGAGATGTTTCAACAAGCATATGACACCATCAAGAAGTATCTTCGGAAGGGGTCTGTTGGGCATGAATGTGCATTAGACCAAGAGGAAATTTTAATTCATATTGTCAAATTGTCAATAATTTTTTTTATTATATAGGAGAAACAAATGTAATGAAGGTTATGGAGATCATCCTCTGTATGTTAATGTTCACATGGACAATGGTGCAGTCGCTACTGCTTGGATTGATGCTCTCCAAGCTGCATTTCCTGCTGTTCAGGTAACTACACTCTCTGTGCAGCAATGTTATTGCCTTGCCAGCAATTTTATACTATCACAGTGATCAGGCATGAATGTTTCTCAGCCAATGTCCTTGCTTCTAGGTCCTGGCTGGAGATGTTGAAGAGGCTATCTGTCAGCAAGCCTTGTATTTTGGTATTTGGAGGCTGTATAATGTTCTTCCTGAGAGATTTGACTGGCAAAGGATTGCTCCTAGTGTCCTGTTTTATCCACTTCGACCAGAATTAGTGGAATCCACCTATTTCCTCTACCAGGTAATAAGCTGGGCAAGCCCAGTCCAGTAGTGGGCCTCCTTTCAGTTAAGGGGACACTCATTTTGTCACAGAATTGAAGAAATTGCCATTTATTTTTAGTCCTTAACCATCACAAATCTCATTCTCAGTTGGATTTGGTAAACACAGGCAAATGGTGCCCATGAAGTTTGCTGATGAAAATTGAAATTCAAGGCAAACTATCCATTCACTAAAGTAATCTCGCTTCCAGTCAAATAATGTAAATACATTTTCTTGCACTCAATGTTCATCAAGGAGTCCTGCACCTTCCACAATATCCTAAAAATTATTCAAAACTATTCCTTTCTTAGAATAGTCCAAGGTAAGGAAGAAAGGACCACCTGCTATTGAATTAGGAAATGCAGATGTCAGTATTGGCACTAATGCATTAAATTTTGCAATTCAAGTGAGGTGTTTTTAGACACAAAATTCATAACAAATTGTGATTTTCTCCAGAGTAAGCTTCATAGTTTCCTAGACCTTAGGCAATGAAGGAAAGCCACTAAGCATAATGCAATCAATTCTTACTTCTAAACTGCCAAGCGATAAAACTCTTGCCTTTTGAAATGCCGTTTTTAACGGTCGATGCTCTCATGCATTCTTGACTTGTTGGGCAAGCCCAATCCTGTAGTGGGCCTTCTTTAAATGACTATGATGATCAAGAAGACTACATGCCAAGTAGGTAGAGGTCAGAAGATGAAAGAATAGTACAATATGTAACGTTGTTGAAAAGAGTTTGGATAACAACCATTTCCATGCTGTCATGCACAGATGCTGCCTTCCACTCTACCTTTCTAGGTTGGATCAATCTGCCACAAAGGAGGCTGGTAGGGAACTTACAGCTCTGGTTGCTGACACAGTACCATGCCCAAAACCTGAGTCATACATGCATGATCCTGAAGGGCTCATGCCTTCCCTCCAGGACCAAATTTCAAATCCAAAATTTGCAATAAAAATGCCAATTTTTGTGCAAAATCGCCACAAAACAAACTCAGGCTGTCTTTTCCATATCTACCTGCTTGCCAATTTTTGCACTAACCAATATTTTCTTAGTTATCATCAGACAACCTAAGTGTGAACAGACAGACAGACACACAGACAGGTTGGAACCATAAGTGGTCTCTTTCCTTTCAGGAAAGGAGGCCCACTAAAAAGGGAATATTGATGCTTCCTTGGATGCAGTCTTATAAATTGACTCCTCTTATCAGGCCACGAAGAGTCCATTTTATCTCCATGTGGGACGTGACATCTTGGAAAACCTGAACACACACACAAGGGCACAGTGTGGATATGCAACTGTACACTCTGTTTTGGACAAATCCCTGGAGGATCGTATGGAAAGCTTTTTCTTGTCAGAAACTTGCAAGTATCTCTACCTGGTGAGTTGCTTGGAAGGTAACATCTTCTGCTACCAGTGGTACACTGTTTATATGACAGATATTATATTGAATTGTCATTCATCATTGCCACAGCTGTTTGATACGGATCATTACATCAACCGGCACCTAGAAGAGTATCTGTTTTCCACTGAAGGCCATGTCTTTCGACTCACTGAGTTTCTCAGGGTTCAGGATCCACTCCTCCAAGAAGCCTCACATTCCATGAATCCTCTGGTGACTCCAAAACTCAATTCATCTGTGCCTCTCCATGTGAGACCATTTCATGCATGCTTCAAAACCATCTTTGAATATTATGTGAGCTTATGTGTATTTCTTCTTGGATGGTATTTCAGTGTGAACAAGTTCCTCCAGAACGAAAGTACCTGCTCCCTCTCCAAAGCAAGTACCTGGCTCAATTGAATGCAGCACTTGGACTCCCATACTAGGAATTTTTATTGTTGATGAAAAAGTTACCAGGAGAAAAATCAGATCTATAAGTATATCCCACTTTCACCATGATTTTGGCTTTGGAGATGAACCCTTCTTTCTCATGTCAATGTGTCAGTTTCTTGTTCTTTTTCAGGTTGAAGGGTTGACCAAATGTTATGCTATGTTTTGCATTGCATTCACAGAGAAGATGGAAACCAGTTCAACATGGAGCGCAGAATACTTTGTATTCCTAAAACTGTTAAGTGTTAAGCATGTCTACATGGTGAAATTGTTCTCCTCTGAAGCCTGAATTCATGGTGGAAATGAAATATACTATCCAGAATTATTGCAATTAATGAATGAATAATATATTACTACACATTGGTAGTTTTCTCATTTTATTCTCTCACCAAATCAAATCACTCTAAGAGGTACCTGTTGCAATCCCTTCATCCAAAGACATGGATACCTTTCATTAACAAACATAACTGTTGCACTACAAAAAAAAGAAGTTATTCATTATCTAAGTCAAGAGATGAATCACTGCTGGAAGACTGCCTTTTTTTCCTCCTCTTCTTTTTTTCCTCTTTCCTTTTCTTTTTTTTCTTCAGCTTTTCTTCCTCCTTTTGAGATGCACTACATTTACTATCCTCCTTTCCTCTCTTTTTCTTCTTCTGCTCTTTCTTCTTTTTCTTTTTTCCTTTTGGAGATTCGCCTTGGTGGTGTTTCCTTTTGCTCTCTTGGACAGTTGTGTCAGCCTCTACTGGATGCTCTTCTTTGGCCATCTCTTTTGTCTTTTCTCCAACACTATTTTCTTGTGGTTCAAGACTTCTCCTTTCTTTCTTCTTTTTCTTTTTATGCTTACTCTTCCTCTTCAAGTTCTTCTCTTCATCAGATGTAGAATCAATAGCATCTCTGTCTGATCCATCTGGTCGACTATAATATGTGAACTCTGGTGTCTTAGAGGGTCTACTGCAGAAAAGGTTTTCTGGTTCTTGGGGATTCAGGGAAAACTGTGTTGGAGGAAGAATGGGGGAACGAGACCTGGTGCGGCGAGGTGGCTGCAGTGGACTGTGGTTTCTGTAGTATGGTGACCGTGAGTGTATCCTATGCTCTGCATGTCTTGGGTATGGGGATGGCGACTTCTCCCGATCCCTTGAGCGCTGATAATACCGTTCATAGTCCCTTGAATAGCGTTCATAGTCTCGATACAGTCTTACTGAATCATAGCGAGCCCGTCTTCTTGCCTCCTCCTCTTCCTTCTCTCGGCGCAGTTTTGAGTCACGTTCCTGCTGATTTCGAAGCAGTTCTTCAAATGCTCGAACTGGATCACTTCCAGGGTCAATGTCAGTCCTGCCATGATGACGATACCTGGAACTGGAAGAAGAAGTGTGGCTTCGATACTCATGCCTTCGGTGACTGCTTTCAGCATGGTAGCGTTGGAGCAATAAGTCTCTGTCACGATGAATGGGCATTGGGGGCAAGGACAGTGGGGGAGGACCATGTGGAGGGTAGGCTCCAAGTGGTACTTGGGGGTATGGGACATGGAAAGGTACCAAGGATGGATATGGATAAGTGGGAGGGGCCAGAGCAGGAGGAGGAAGATGCAAACCCCCTTAACTTGACCATCATCCCTACCTTATCCGTCTGACTCCACTACTGTGTAACGAACTTACGTTCACACGTTGTCTTCATTGACCACACGATATAGGCCTCCTACACTAATAACCGTTTTTGGTGCTGATTCCAGGTGGTGGGGGTTCATAAGATGCAATCCCAGGTGGAGGTGGTTCACTAGTTTCATAGATTGTGTCTAAATCATCTGGTTTTTCCACATGGATTGAGTCCAATTCTACTGGTTTTTCTAATGAACTCTCTTTGACAAGTGATTTCTCTACTTTCTGTTGGACCTTTGGCTTCTCCTGTGGTTCATCTGTGGTACTTCCAATCTCATCTTCCCTGTCCTTCACTTCCAGAGAGGGCACTTCTTTCTTTGGTTCAGTGTCAAGAAACACATCCTTCTTTGTGTTTTCACTAGTTGTTGTTGAATTTCTCATCTTATCCTCTTGTGAATCAGGTTCTTCTGACAAGTGGTTCTTGTAGTTTATTACAGCATTGCGTAGGAACCGGTTTGGGATTAAGGTGGTAGGTGAGATTCCAGTTTCATGGCATTCAGGACACTCATGATCATCTGAATCTAGAAGGAAACTGCGGATGCATTCATCACAAAAAGAAACACCACAGCACGGAATACAAACAGCATCACGGAGGAGGTCTTTGCACAAGCTACAAGTCAGCTCAGGTGGGAGCTTGACCTCTTCCTTTTGAACCACATCCTCAGGCACAAATGGTGGCTTCTCCTTCTTCACCTCCTTATAGGCATTGTACTCAAGAAGTGGGACAGCGTAATCGCCAACTGGAGTCAAGAGGGCACCAGGTGTACGTGGGTCTGCCACAGGAACCAGAAATGATCTAGGTATTCCAGTGCTGCGTTTGGTTTCAATGTCTGCAAATGGGCAGCTGCGAATCCAATGTCCACTTCGTTTGCATTTGTGGCAAACATAGGTGTTTGGGACTGGTCCATGTTGGTTGGCACCACGGATTTTGAGGTACTTGGATGGATCATAATCAGATGTGGACTGTGCCATCATGGCCTTGATCTTATCCTCTTCTGATCCCTCAACTGTGGTGAGATCGAGAGTTGAAGGCAGGGACTGATGGATTGGTTCATTTAGGGAGACGTGCATGTGCATGTCATCGGCATTGGCATGGTTGGAGTTTCCATGCCGTCGTTCTTTGGTGAGCACTGGAATACGACTCACAATGAGGGAGGACAAGAACCCATACTCCCACCGTAGTAGACTTATATGGAGGAAACAAACTCGTAGACACTAGACCTCGAACTTCAGTCATCGAAATCGGTTGAAGAAGACCAGTTACTATCGAGAAGAATTGAGAGGAACTGAGATATGGAGACCATCAAACTTCACTGTGTCATATTTCAAGGCTGATTTGAACTTGTAGTGGACTGACATTGTGATGCAGCTTTTGTCTGATTTTCTCACTTATTTTTGCACACCTGTTGAAGAATGGAAAATTCCATTTCTGAACAATCCCATTTCTCTTGAATATATTTGCCATGCTCCTTTATTGATATTACCAACAAAGAGCAATAAGGGAGTAAAAGTAGAAAAATAATACAAAGTTTGAGTTCCAACAAAATTTGTAGCTATATGGTATTCATGCAATCTAAGGGTCAGTCCAAATAGATTATCTTCTGGAGTCATAGAGTTTGAAGTAATAGTGACCTTAACAGGTTGACCACCATGAGGCACACTGGTGTGCCTCACTGAATGGCAAAATCAATAGGCCAGCATTTCCATAGCGGTCAATGTGTTAAGGGAGTGTCAGTTTATCTCTTTTTGTCTCAAATGGCTCCTTGTATCCCCCACTCTGAGAGAATAGGAACCACTTCTGTTTCACCAAATCTGCACCAGAATGCTATTTTCAGCATTAATACTTTCAGGTCTGTATTTTTAAAAGTAACATTGGCTTATGCTATAAATAAAAATGTTATACACCAGAACTTAAAGGATAAATATATGGCTCTTTTTACCTCATGCCCAATTTATGAGGAATAAGAAGAGCCAAATATGCACATTAACCTTCTGGGGTCAACACCTGAGTTCTCATGTTGGCCTCATGATGAAGGATAGAAAAAACTTGGATGAAAGTGCTGACAAATTCAAAATACTTGGACCCCAAAGGAATAAAACTGACACTTGAATCTTACATTATAGCAATTTCTTGCTAGTATTGATTCTGAGGATGCATGGAAGTTGTCATTTATATATTTTGAGTCTGAAAATTTAACATATGCCCTAGTAACTAATTTGGGTTATTTCACTTTCTCAGAATACATAGGGTTGCTCACACTTGATCAAAATGATCTTGAAATGGCCCCTGAAGCTTTCCTGGGATAGAGTTTTGTTACATTATCTGTTAGCTAGAATGGTATTGTAAGCTTCCAATATGAAAGAAAGAAACTTGTACTTGTGGGATGCCTCTAAAAACCTATGTGTGGTGGGAGGAGTACAACACAAACTGCCTTTTCAGTGGAAGACAACTTGCATTCTTCAATCACAGGTAAATGCACCATAGGATGCATTTATTCTGCGATCATTGGACAGAGGTAACATGGACTTTAAAAAGGGAATTAACAATCTTGGGTTCACTCAAGAAGCTGCACTGGAAGGTGGAGAAAAAGCACATCCAACCCCAAACAGAACTATAGTTGATCAACTTGTCCAGAAAGAAAATCCACCAACACAAAGTTTTGACAAGTTATACATGTGACCTGCTACAATTAACAAAATTACCATTAAAGACCTGAGGCTGGAAAAGAAGCACAGATCCCATGTCCACAAATTGTAGGCTCATGTTGCAGAAAGCTGTATAAGTACCATCTAGTGGGGGAAGGGTATAAATATTTTTTCACTCTAGATGAGGCATGGATTTGCCTGATTGATATGAACAAAGTTTGAGCCATTTACAACACTCCTTGTGAAAAAATTTTTTTCAAAAGTGGTTCCTGAAGTGCAAGGAAGTTCATTGCCTGGATTCATAGTTGTTGCTGGCTTGTGCTATAATGGGAAGTTGCAGATCTATGGAATGGCTGAGAATGTCAAGATCAATTTACAATATTACCAGCAACAAATTTTGAGACCAATTTTTGGAAAGGAAATCCTCCATCTGTGGGGGACCAAAGACTCAAAGGTTTCCGTGCAAAAAGCATCAGGTCATGCTTCTGAGGCAACTGCTGCCTTCTTGAGCCATATTGAAGAAGACCCAATACCAACTCACAGACATTCATATGATATCCCCAGATGCAGCACCAATGGACTTCTATCAGACTCAGCTCATGCTCTGACTCCTAGCTCTGAGCTAGGGCTCAGGTTTCATTAATTTGGCTCATTGACAAGAGCCAGATGAGCATAATCAGGAATGGAGAAGGAGCCTCTAAGGTAGCGGTTCTCAAACTGGGGAGCATGACCCCAACTGGGTCTGAGAGGGTCCCAGGGCAGGCATGACAGATCATGGGGTTTTCATTTTTTTTTTTACAACTGTTCTGAGTCAAGTGTACCACGGTTGGTGACTCCGCATTGAAGACAGCTCTATAAACCTGAAACTTTGAAAGAATAGGTATTGCAATATGGGGAATCCAACAGTGGTCTTTGTTTGAAAATTGACTTAGAACTTCTAGAGATATGGTTATTGCTCTCAGGGGTAAAAAGGCAGAAAGTTTTGCAACACAGTGGACTTGGTCATGGCTTTTACAGTA